ACTCGCTTACTCACTGAACCATGGTTCAGAACCGGGTCAGATGCTCTATTCTACACTTGTTGCTTTATGTGTAGGTACAACTGAACGAAGACTAGCTTGATGAGTCCGAGCCCGATGAGAAGAATGGTTCTAGCCATCCTCTTTGCTGATGGTGACCATTGCAATAAAGGCTGAAGATTTCACCCTTTGTTTCATCTTGGGGGCATCAGGTGTACTCTTTTTCCCTTCATAAGTATTTTTTCCCATTGGGTTTTTTCCAAATGAAGGTTTTTAATGAGGCATCTCCCCAACATGGACAAGGGCAGATATCTTCTAGTCTCGGAGAAGGGCGGCTGACTTGGACTACTCCCTCTTAGCCGAGTCTACTACTCGACTAAGGGAGTGGGGGACTCGTGATGGAGTTATGGGACTAGGCCCAGAGCCTAATCGGCCCAAGCCCCGAACTTGGACCCGTGGATCCAGGTCCACAACCTAGAGCCTGCCTACCATCCCAATGGGGAGCCTGCCAGCCAGGAAAAGTAACAGTCAAGCAATTAATGCACGTTTAATTATGTATTTAATTCTGCACTAATGTTGTAATTAATTAGTCATTATTATCGGTAGCGGTTACGAATTGTATACGCCTATAAAAGGCACTTTGTAATTCAAACTAAGGAAGCAACTTCTATACGCTATTTCTGGAAACTAAACACTTTTAGCTTTTTTCCTTATTTGCATTATTTTCCTGATTTCCTGCTTGAGTGTCGTACGTAGCTTTCCTAAAAGCTTACGAGCGTCCTATTTTGGACCAACACAACCTTTTCGGGAAATGTGAATGTCAATTAAGTGACAAAATTGCTCGGAAGAACATGGTTCTAGGCCTGTAGCAAGAGTTTAACTCGCCGCCTGAGGTTAGTAGTTCGAACCCGCAAGTAAAAACTTTTGAACGGGTGACTCGTCCCCCGAGGTCGGAGTGTGATGCACTAGGAAGAGGTAAGAGCACACAAGAACTCGTATGAAGTCAAGAGTGTGCGGTATCAACATTTATATTGGAGCTTATTAATCGTCACACCCATATGACGTGACCCGGTGGCGCGAGTGTGTGTGCTCGGCCAGTGTACGAGTGTGTGTGCTCGTCCGGCGTACTTGAATGATCAGATTTCATAAGTCCGTTGTTCAATGTTAAAATTACACACACTTAACAAGAGTAAAAACAATATATCACTTAAAATATCTTTTCAAATATTCATATGTTTTTATTTATGATTTTTTTTGTATCAAATATAGAGGATTTTTGAAAACTTAGCTTTAGAACCAAACGGGCCCGAATGAGTTGCCGAAAATGCAGCCCGTCATCATCCTTGAGGAGAATCAATTTTGGTCTTGGTGTAATCTTGGCCCATTCACTTTAACGCAGAGCAGACTCTTGCTCCATAGGAATTATGTGGGTGCACATTTGAAGGCCTATCTCATGAATAGGCGTGGCGATGAGGGAGACCAACAGCGACGTCGGCGCGTGACATCTAGCTATGATTGGCGAAGAGAACAGGAGGAAGTGGGACTGTAGCACCTTGGATTGGGATGAATTTCTTGAATTTTTTCCTACTAAAGTGATGTGAGAGATCAATAGAGGCTCTCAATGAAAGCACCAATGTTGGTCCAAAATAGGACGCTCGTAAGCTTTTAGGAAAGCTACGTACGACACTCAAGCAGGAAATCAGGAAAATAATGCAAATAAGGAAAAAAGCTAAAAGTATTTAGTTGCCAGAAATAGCGTATAGAAGTTGCTTCCTTAGTTTGAATTACAAAGTGCCTTTTATTGGCGTATACAATTCGTAACCGCTACCGATAATAATGACTAATTAATTACAACATTAGTACAGAATTAAATACATAATTAAACGTGCATTAATTGCTTGACTGTTACTTTTCCTGGCAGGCAGGCTCCCCATTGGGATGGTAGGCAGGCTCTAGGTTGTGGACCTGGATCCACGGGTCCAAGTTCGGGGCTTGGGCCGATTAGGCTCTGGGCCTAGTCCCATAACTCCATCAACCAAAATAATAAACAATAATGTAATTTATACAAAAAATATTAAAAACTATAAAAAATCTAAAATAGTTTTTAGAAAATACTAAAATAATACTCCATATAAATTAAAAAAATAGTTTTAAAAAAAAAATAACAAAAATAAAAATTATGGAGGCCTTTCCCACAATCTCGACCCGTGCCCAGTCAAGTTACTTTTGATCGGCTAAAAAATTATCATAATGTGTAAAAGCTTCAATTTTTCTCTAAAAATGCCATGGAGATAACATTTTTACTCTTACAAAATGTCAAAATTATCTAAAAAACGATTAAGATAACATTTCTACACATATTGACACTTTTTCCGATGATTGTAGCTGACAGTGCTGGGAGGTTGCTGAGGTGGCAACATAAGACTGCGTTTTTTTTATTTTTTATTTATCTTATTTTTTTTAGTTTTTTATTTTATAATTTTTATTTTTCATTTTTTATTAATTTTAATTAATATTTATTTCTTTTTTTTTACATTTTTATTACAAATAAAGTTATGTTATTACTTTTATATTTTAATTATTAATGAAATATGAATTGTATTAAAACAAAGCAAGGGTAGAATGGGAAAGCTAGTCCTATTTAGAGAATATTTAAATTATGACCATATTATAGTAATTAAAGTTTCATTCGGTCCTATTTGGAGGATTCTCGAGTATGTCTTTTATTTTTACAATAATAGTGTTCTGGTCACGGGTGATGCCTGATCGGTCAACTAATAACTCCTCCGGAAGACAATTTACTAAAATTTATGACCTCTTTTAAAATTTTCAAAATATGTGACTAAAAGTCATATTTCTTATATTTAATCATACATTTATTATTTTAATATTCATTTTATATATTTGATTAGTAAGTCCTATGACCACCAACCCGCACCACCGCCGCCACCGCCACCGCTGCTGCCACCGCCGCCACTGCCGCCGGCACCGGCGGTGCCGCTACCACCACCGCCACTGCCGGCGCCGCCAAAGTGACTTCGGCCAAAGCGACTCCGCCCGCCAGTGACTGCTGCCGCCCCAGCCAAAGTGATTGTCCGCCACCTACCGATCAAAGTGACTCCGGTCACTGTGGCATCGACCATAGTGACTCCGTGAACATTGTGGGCACAGTGACCCTGCACCACCGTCAGTGCCCCTCACCACAATCACTACACCACCTCCCGACCAGTGACCCCGAACCACCTCAAACCAACCACTCTGGGCGGTTGTGCAGCCACCGCCGCACCCCAACCAAAACCCCAGCCTCACCACACTCCACCCCAGCCCACCACACCCCAGCCTCACCACACTCCACCCCAGCCCCACCACACCCACCCCAGCCCCACTCTACCCCCGCCTCCCGCTCCTGGCACCTAACCACCTCCATCCCCACCGCGACTACTGCGGCCAGCCATCGAGATGACAAATCTAGCACTGGCGGTCCTGAGGACGGGAGATCCGGCATCGGCGGCCCCAAGGACGCCATATCCAGCACCGGCGGTCGCAAGGACTGCACGTCCGGTACCGGCGGCTCCAAGTACGACAGATCCGGCACCCAACCCCCCACCAGCCCCAACCACCCTCCCCCAGCCCTTGCACAACCGCATCGCACCACATCCTGCCCCTAGCCGTCGTACCGTCGCCCACCACTACTCCCACACAACCACTAGCCCATCGCGACCAGGCCACTTCTGTCGCCGCTCATCGCCCTTAGCCTCCATCGCCGCCACATACGGTAACCCTAGCCGCCACCGTCCTTCCGTCGTCGCTGCTGGAAGAAATGAGAAGAGCGAGATGAAAGAAGAAGAAATGAGAAGAGAGTGACGAATTTGTTGGGGGAGATGGGACGTCGACGCAAATACGCAGGGTGCAACGCGGCTGGAGTTTTGTAAAGAGTCATATTTCTGGAAAATGTAAAAACTGTCTTATTTTTGGAAATGAAAACTCTAGTAGTAATATACAGGCCATTATTTCTTTCTAATGTCTTCAACAACTGCTAATATCTAAGCGCTCTTGATAAAAATCCCATTTAATCTCCTTTAATATTATCACCAAAGATCTAGCTTGAGAATTGGACCTGTCATGAACTTTCGATCACAAAGTTCTTATAATACGTTAAATTTCTCTCATTTAATTTAAATTGATCGATCATCATGTATTGACTAATCGACGTATGTCATTGTTAAATGGATAGGTCACATTTATAATTGGGAAAATGGACAATCAAGCTCACGTACTGACAAAAAAAGGTCAAATAAGCCTTTATATAGGAGGCTCTGTCCGGCCGTCGCCATTTCAGTCAGTTCCCGGTGGATTTTTTTGATGAAATTTTTTAGAACCTTATTCATTAAGTCTAGTTTACTCATACCAAATTTCTGCTAACAATTCAATTGGGAAGACATTCAAATAAATTCTTGAAGATAACTGCGCTTTTAACTGCGTAGTTATCTTCAAGAATTCATTTGAATGCCTTCCCGACTGAAGTTTTAGCTAAAATTTGGTATGAGTAAACTAGACTTAATGAATAATGTGCTCAAAAAATTGAATAAAAAATTTCCACCGTGAAACTCCCCAAATAACGACGACCGGACATAGGCTCCTATATAAGGGCTTATTTGCCCCTTTTCTCTTTATAATTTATGATGTCTATTTTTCTTTATCATATCATGCCCATAGCCCCAAACACGTGCGTCGGTAAACGTGAAAAGTGAACCGTTGCTATTAAAAAAGAACGGAGGAAGAAGTAGCTAATAAAGATAGCCGGTGCCTTTTATTTGAGAACCCCTTCAAGCCACGTTAACAATCACATTCAATGATTCAAATTAAAGACAATTTACAGTCACGTAAACATGTGACAATCTTTACCAATAGCCCACAGACATATTTTAATTTTTAGTCTCCCAATCATGTAGCATATACACTACTATATAATACTCGTGAACTAATTAACCGCCATGCCTATATCCATCTATAAATACAAGAAAACTCCAAATCAAAAAAACAATAATACACATTTTTTCAAGACTAGCTCATATTTTGCCACTTTATCGGTAACAACCATGGCACCCCATGGAGAGTCATTATTTAGGTCAAACCCTACTACAATGAACAACAACAACAAAAACAACGATCAGAATGCTACCAAACAACCTTTGATCTCCAACGACGATCTCAAACGGACGGTTTCCGACATCTCAATGGTGCTAAGCAAAGAGGTCACCACGTCCACGGGCGGTCCGGGTAGAGCCCCAAATCTACCGCCCATCACGGAGGTGGAAGGCACAAAGTGCGAGTGCTGCGGGCTGTCAGAGGACTGCACCCCGCAGTACATAGCACGAGTACGTTCGAAATTCGTGGGGAAGTGGATTTGCGGGCTATGCTCAGAGGCAGTGAAGGAGGAGGAAGGGAAGAAGGGCGTCATAAGAGAGGAGGCTTTGAGCAGTCACATGAATGCATGCTCAAAGTTCAACAAGTATGTTAGGGCTCACCCGGTTCTTTACCAAGCGGAAGCCATGAGACAGATGTTGAAGAAGAAGAGGGCCGACAAAGCTATTAGGGCTAACAAAACCGTTCAAAACAAAGGTGTGGGGATAGCAAGGACTTCCAGTTGCATTCCCGCCATTACCGGTGACATCAAGAATGAGCAGCCCCGCGGAGATAATTAAAGATATGCTTAGCATATAAACATCAAGTACATACTATATTTGAATGCATATACTATAATGTAATTAGTCTTATCTTGAAAATAATATCTATTCCTGGAATATAATTAAGGATATCTTTTTTATTCAATTAATGATTTTGTTCATCAACCAAATGGTCCAATTATATACTCCCTCCGGTCCCGAATCAAATTCAAACTTTCCTTGCTGGGTAGGTCTAAAATAAACTTCACACTTCTTCTCCCTTCCTTATTAGGCAAATTATCTACATCAAAACAGTGCAAAAGAGTGCAAAACACTGTCAAACAGTGCCAAACAGTGTCACAACAGTGTAGTCTACAGTAAAGTCAATTTTTTTTCCTTAATTTGCGTGAAGTCAGACACTGAATTTGTTTTGGGACCGGATGGAGTAACATCTAAGGGCATTCCCATCAATTAGATTATTTAAAGTTTAATTGGATGATGCGGAAGGTTATTTGAAATATTATCATTATGAGTAGTGAGAGATTATTTAGAGAGATTATTGAAAAAGAAAATCTGTTATCAAGATTTGAATCCCTGATTTTTTAAGGTTGTAGTTAAATTGCATTTAATGCATGATCTAGAAAAATGAATTATTTGAGTATCATGATTGATGAAGAGTTTTAAGATTTGAAATAATTTAAAATTTATTGAATAAATGTGATATGACAATGATGTGTAATAGAAAAGCCATTTATTTTAAAATCATGGATGGAGGTGGTCTAAGAAATAAAAGCGAGCCTAATTGATGATATTTGAAAAAAGGTAGATTCTATTGTACTCTTAAGGTACCATACCTTTATCCAGTGTCCACATGGACCAATCAGAATGCTGCAATTGAATTATTTAAATATAAATTAAAAATGATATAATGATTTGGATCAATCAAGTGATTGTTAAGTACGATACCTCAATTTTTAAATGGATACCGGAATTGTCGGCTTCAAAAAATTAGGCACTCATCGAAGCTAAAATTATAGCTACTTGGTGGCTAAGGAAATCATTGGAGCGAGCAGAAGTTATTAGTAACATACCCGACACAGCGGCGTGGGAATACATATTTGCTACTGATATCGCGTAAAAGATAAAAGGGGTAAATCCATAAGAGAACCTAAAATTATATTCTCTCACTCCTTATAAAACTTTACACTTTGACTTCACACATATTAAGAAAATAAATTTGACTTTACTGTAGAGTACACTATTTGGCACTGTTTTGCACTGTTTTGCACTGTTTGGTGTGGATTTGTTTGCCAAACAAGGCAAATAAGGAAGCGTAAAGTTTAATATGGGACGACTCAAAAAGGAAAATGTAAAGTTAATTAAGGACCGAATGGAGTAATCAATTCTGCAACTAGGTTCTTGAATGGAAAAATCTTGCACATAAATCCTCCCATCCATTGAATTAAAGCAACTAAACCCCTTTTTACCCACTGATGCTCTAAAGAAGATAATTTCTCGTGAGAAATTACCAACACCAATAGGTAAAAATGATCTGATTGCTTTATTTCAATGAGTATATTTGCAAGTCTTTCGCTTCAGGGGTTTTATTGCAAAATCGCTAATAGTTCGAGGGCGAATTTGTCTCATATCTCTTGCAAAAAACTAGTCAGTGTTTCAAGGATCATGACAAAATACTTTTAAATGAATTTATTTCAGTTTGAGGACAAATTAGACCATATTAAACTGAGTTTGATCAGTAATTGATAATACTACATAGTAAAATACACAAAAACAAACAACTATCATAAGATATCATACCAGTTAATATTAGATCAGAACAATCCACACTTAAATAGATTAGACCAAATAAATCAGATAAAAAATTTAGTTTTATTAAAAACTTTCAAGAGTATTAGCTGAATATAAATAGTCACCTATTTACTCGTATATTATTAGATAAATAGGTGAAATTAGATAATTTTGTTTCGTCCATATATCGCACTAATTTTACGCGACTATCAAAACACTCCATATTAAGTATAATACACTCACTCGTGTGATGTATGAAACATAATTTAATAAGAGGTTTGTCCATTAATAATACTGGGGTATTATTTACGAACAAACATCTTATTAAATTATGTTTCAAAATATTTAAAAAATGAGTCTAAATTACTAACAGTGACTATGTCAGTCAATGACCAATCCGATTAATGATCATGATTAATTCGATCAGTGACAAACCCGACCAATGACTATGACCGATCTGACTAGTGACTAACTTGACTAGCTAGTGACTATGACCAATCCGACTAGTGACCAACCTGACCAGTGAATATGACAAACCTAACCAATGACTGTGACCAATCCGATCAATGGCCAACACAACATTTGACCAGCACGACCATTGACCTCCACTGCCTAAGCAGTGACCTTCGGCCCGCCACTCCGCCCCAGTGGCTACCCTGCCCCTGACCACCACCACCGCTGTAACACCGTCCCCAAATGTATTTATCTTTAAGCGAATAATTTATTGAATCCTATGGAATTTTTAGTGAATTTACGAGGTTGTGAATTTGTATTAATTTTTTCGCGTGAATAGTAAAATGCACGTGGGGCCCACATCGGGAGTGGGGACCGCCCGATATTATCGGGACCACATATTATATTCGTCTGGGTCTAGAAAATATTTATAGATGGTGGATACTTCTTTTGGGCCATGGAAAGGCCCAGAGTTGACCGATTGGTCAATAGAGGCCCAAATACCGGTATCGATAAATTTATCAGATAAAAGTCCAAAATTGGAGTTTGGAGACTTATACATTAAAGTGGGGGAATGCATATTCATTCTAAATGTTATAATGATTAAGAACACGTAATATATTTATTTAACCCGATAAAATAAAATATATCTAAAACAGTCCGGAAAATACAACTTTCGGGGCAAATTGTACACTTTGGGACAAATTAGGATGACCTCCCACAAGGGTGGGGGCCACCCCACGAATTTGTCAACCTTTGGGGGCTGGATGGGTGCTAAGTTGGCTGAATAACAATTGATAGGATGGGGGAGACATCCTTGACACTTAGTATACCCCATCCCTTCACTCATTTGTCTAAATGAGACAAAAACCACCCCTCTCACCTCACCACCTCCACCCACTCGTGGCAACACCCAAGGATAGCAAGTAGGAGCTCTGAAATTCACCATTTTCACACCCAAATTCGAGCTCAAGGTGGAGGACCCAAGGAGGAGTGTTTGGAGAAGGAAAAAGGTGTAGGAAAGTGTGGAAAATTGAGGTGATCACCTTGCCATAGCTTTCCCTTTATTCTTCTTCTACCATAATGAATATTTATTATATGAAGAACCCTTGGGATGGTTCTCCATGCTCTAAGTATGGATTTATGGGTTGGAAAGTGGTTCTATGTCCAAGAACGGACTTAGGAGCCAAATCGACCGGTTTGCCGGAAAATAACCTTTTATAGGTTATTTGTGTTGATATAGGTTTTGTGATGATAAAACCTTGTTAGGAACTTGATTTAAAGTATTTTTGAGCTTCTCCGGAGTTTCGTCGGAGTTGGTCAAAGTTCGCCGGAGTTGGTCAAAGTTCGCCGGAGTTGGTCAAAGTTCGCCGAAATTAGTCAAAGTTCAATCGAGAAGCATAGAACGCGCTTAAGCTTAATTAAGGTGAGGATGACCTACTATGTTGCTTATAATCTTTGGGTTAATCTCATGGGATCTCCTAAGTGAATACAAATGTGATGTGCATGGGTTGTTAATGGTTAATAATGCCTAAATAAAACTACTACTGATTATAAGTATAGTGTGCATGATATACAAATTTATGAATAAATTGTGTATGTTTAGATGTTATGAATACGAGTGTATGATGGTTGTATCAACCATGAAGTTCATTTGAGATAGTATACTTTGATACCATGAGGAGAAGCCATGAAAGTATAAAAGTGATATTTGATATTAAGGCCAATCATGCATGAAGGAAGAATTATATTGAAATAAATAAATAACTAGCATTGAAATATTAGTTGGAAATGTTAGTTGAGAAATGGATGAATTAGATCCTATGAATTTGAATTATAAAGAATTGGTGATTATGAGCCGGGCTCGAGACCGATGTAGATAACGGTGATTATGGGTTGGGCTCTAGACTGTAGCAGATGACGGTGATTATGAGCTGGGCTCTAGACCGTGGTAGATGACGGTGATTATGAGCGGGGCTCTAGATCGTAGTAGATAACGGTGAGTATGAGCTGGGCTCTAGACCGTAGTAAATAATGATGAATTGATACTAAATGAACGGATTAACTATAATGTAATAATGCTTTAGATTGAGGGCCTCAGAGATTTAAACTTCGATTATACTTAGTATAGTTGTCATTGTACTTGTCAAATGCTTCCAAGTACTGACCTCCCCTTCACGGGGGAGGCCACCTCACAGTTTCAGGTAGAACTTGAAGGTTGCTACTACCAGCCGCTGTTTCGGGAAGTTTATGAGAAGAAGACTTGGTTCGTGCTTCTTCCGTTCTTGTTTTGAAAACAATACGAATAATGCTCATGGATATTATTTTCTGAATATACATTTCGGGGGTTTGTATACTCATGTTTGCCAAGTGTGGCTTGAACACTTGTAATGCTGTTTCCGCTGTTTTAAATGAATGATTTACATTATGTTTGATTATGGATGTACTATGTGTGAATGATATTCATGACGCCTTGTATAGTATGGAAGAGTTGGACTGCGGTTGGCTATCAGTACTGTACGGCGGGTTGTTGACGTGTCCGGCTAGGTCCGGGGCGTGACAATTTAATTGGTATAAGAGACTTAGTCCGTAAACATCATAATGAAGCTTCAAAATTCTTTTTGAAAATGAATTTGAAAACCATGAGCATAAGGTTTTGTACTTATAGAACTTTTGGTACTTGAGTCGCAATGCCTCTAATTGTTAAGATGGTACCCTTAACAATTGGTATGGCGATGATTTGAGCCGAAGGATGTCTTTAAGTACCCGTCTGTCATTTGACATTCGATACGAGTCTAATGACTCATTCTAATTTCTTTCAGAAATGGAACGAGTTGGAAGGATCACTAGAAGGAACCCGTTGGGCCGTGCACCGGGTGGGTCCGAGCGCGGTAGCCGGGGGTCCTCTAGGGGATCAAGAGGAAGGGGC